ATGGTTAACATAGTCACTGGGTCAGAGTATATGACTAGCATAGTAATTTGGTCAGAGTATATGGTTAACATGGTCAATTGGTCAGAGTATATGGTTAACATGATCACTTGGTCAGAGTATATGGTTGTCATAGTCACTTAATCAGAGTATATGGCTAGCATGCTCACTTGGTCAGAGTATAGTGATTAACATGGTCACTTGGTCAGAGTATATGGTTATCATAGTCACATGGTCAGAGTATATGGTTAACATAGTCACTGAGTCAGAGTATATGACTAGCATAGTAATTTGGTCAGAGTATATGGTTAACATGGTCAATTGGTCAGAGTATATGGTTAACATGATCACTTGGTCAGAGTATATGGTTATCATAGTCACTTAGTCAGAGTATATGGTTAGCATGCTCACTTGGTCAGAGTATAGTGATTAACATGGTCACTTGGTCAAGTATATGGTTAACATGGTCACTTGGTCAGAGTATATGGTTATCATAGTCACTTTGTCAGAGTATATGATTAGCATAGTCACATGGTCAGAATAGATGGTTAACACGGTCACTTGGTCACCCTAAGTGTGATGCACATCCCGAAATGGTATCTTCGCTACTTCTGACTTTTCACGCTCCTTAACCACTCCAGAACCTCACGAGTACGAGATGGAGAACTTTGATCTGGCGGCGTACATAATCGTCCTGGAAGACCTCGTGTCACAGATGTACCTGGCTGTGATTCAAAACGTGCAAGAAAAGCTCAGCGCTTGCTTTCTTCCCCCATTAGCGATAGATTTCTGTATCTCTGCATAAAAGGTAATATAAGCTCAGGTTTTTTTGTCTTTGTTTGTTATATATATATTTGGTTGGAGGGGGGGGATGGCATCGTCTCTTTGTGTGAGGAGGCAAACCTGCTATTAGTAGATCCTGATAACGCGTGCACCTACTGCTGCAGATTAAAAGGGGCTTATGAATGTCGAGGGGGTTTTATCAAGAATCTGCCCTTAATTCATTTTGTGGTCCTGCCTTTTAATCTTCCTGAGTCACATTGTATTGCATTTTGTTCACACTACATTTATGCATAGCTACGCGTGAATTTTAAGTTGTAGGAAGTAATTATCTTCAACCAACCTGTGTTAAATCCATCGAGCTATACTCAATGCGCATCCCCCACACACTTCATCATAGACTGCTTCCGGCCGTTCCTATAATGACACGTGTCAATTTCTCTTTGATTGCAGAAAGTATACGATACTTTGCTGAGCTATGGCGTGGATCTGCACATCGTCCAGCAGATGTTCATGCAGCTGTCTTACTTCATCTCAGCTCAGTGCTTGAACAATCTGTTGCTGAGGAAATATCTGTGCAACTGGTATAAGGGTCTACAGATTCAGTATAATGTGTCACAGGTATGTCGGACATTCGCGGCAGAGGATACATCTTGAGGTGGCGGAATGGTCTAATCCGTGTAACTACATGACTATATACATTCGCACCTCCTTTTTTGGGGAGTGTTTCTTTCTCACTGGTATTTAGAGCCTGCATATCAACGTCACTTGCACAAATAATTGGATCGAGATAGTGTACCCCTTCTGTATATACAGGTGCTTTTGTGTACACAATTCTTCTATATTTCTTAATCATACATATATATACATATTTATATTTTTATATATACTATTATTCCACCACCCTATCCAGATCGAAGCATGGCTACGCGACCACAAACTAGACGAGGCCAAATCCAAGCTGGCCTGTATCTACCAGGCCACCAGACTGCTGGGAGGCATGCACAGAACTCAATTACAGGCAAATACAGAAGATTCTGTCCATGTACACGCCCGATAAGTCGGACGAGGACGTGCCGGTACACATTATCCGCGCCGTGGAAAGTGTAAGTAGCTCACGATCTTACTCTGCATATCTGTTTATAAACGGCTGTGTGCCCTACAGCCCCCGATGCTTTGCCTAGGTACGCACATCCCCTCCGTGTGTATTACTCTGGCACGTTTCTACGCTTCTACACTGTCAATATATGTGAGATTGGATCTTCATCACACATATTGAGGCTCACTATTGTACTAATTTCATACAACAGGTCGGTTGGAAACGTTACATGGAAAGCAGCAAGGAAAGCAACAAAGAGCCATCGCTCATGTTGAATTTGA